GAACAAAACTAAATAACAGTAAACCTTTTTTTGATTTACGGTATTTTCTTATTTTGATGTTGTGAGCTCTTTTGTGTTTACAATTCTAAATGTATAATAGCATTTGAAGGCAAATAAAATAAAAGTTTATTTTTGGTTACTTGTTTGTCAAATTTCATAAAAATCTACTTGAAATCAAACTGCACAAGCTGTCCTTAGTATTGGAGTAATTGACTAGAAGAAAAATATCTAGTCAACATCACGCACTGCCAACTCTTGGTGTACTCTTTACCAATGAAGAGTGGGATTGACCATCACGTTATAGCCTTCCCATGGCTCAAAAGGCAAGCATGTTCAGTGATGGGATTCAAATTTACAACCCACAGATTACAAGTTAGGTACCCTAACTATCAGGTTATGCCAGGCCTCAAACTTTATTTTTACAAATGACTTTTATGATACTGAAAACAATTACAGATTCAAACTGTATGAATGGTTTGAATGAGATTCATTTATCAATACACTGAAAAGAAACTTACAAATGGCAAAACTACAAACCAAATGATATCTTAAAGCTGCAAGATAAGACAATACCTGAACTATTTTTCACGTGTAAGTAGATGGTATTTGAAATGAAAATTTTCTAGATTTTAAAAATTATCAAAATAATTAAAAAAAAACTATTGTTTTTCATAATGATGAAGAAAATCTGAAGTCAATATGAGAATTTACTATACTTCACAAAAATATATTTTTTTAAATAATCTTTACCTAAATGATGAAATCAGATTTAAAAAACAAGAAAAACTCACCTCTTCCAGAACATCAGCTATTTTGATCAAAGTTTCTTCATTGAGTTTTCTGAATGTTGGAACACTATAAAAATAGTATCAAACCATAAACATTCAAATCAGCAAAATGTCTAAATTTTTGTACAAGATCACCCAGCCTTCATAATCACATTATCCAACAATAAATCCAGTTACTACAGTGGTTCTCAACCTTTTCTATCCTGATTCCTCCTTAAATATAACCATTTTTTCTCATTCCTCTCTTCCCTTCAATCTGAGACAATGCCCACAACAAACAATTCCTTGTGTGTGTGTGTGTTACTCACCCATTTTCCTTCTAGCAATGCAAACACGATAAAATATATATGGGCCAATAATATATGTCATTTCTCACCCCCAAACCTTCATATTGGCCACCTTAAAATTTTTGTCATTCTAGATGATCAGTTTATTTGAAAACTGTTCTAAAACATCCTGTGCCTGCCCCCCCCCCTCTTTTAACAATACTGCACCCAACATGCTGGGAACCACTGAGTTTCTGCATTCCTCAGATAACTTTAACAAAAATAAACTTAATATTTCTCTATATAGATTTTCTATGTTTTCTAAAAGCACATCACCTTAACGGTAACTGATAGCTGTTTTTCTAATTCCCTAACAAAATGCCGGAAAGTCTTGTTCATAAATCAGCTCTTTAGTCCCCAAGCATTAAAATATCAAATATCTAAGAAAGATCTCAAGCACGAATATTTATGCTTTTATAATCACCTTTTGAGGAAGTCAGTGTACTCTGCTTGTCGTATTAATCCTGTTCTCATCATAATTGTCTGGAAGCACTGTCGTTCAATTGCCCAAAGTTTACAGTCCATTATGGCTAAATAAAAGCATAACAATGAAATATAATAACAATCATATACAGTAAATATAAATGTATAATTATAATTTATTATACTTGCTAGTAAATGTTAGACTATAATTTATTACACATTCATACAATAACATGTTATGACAAGAACTGGTGACATAACTGACCATGGCAAAATTGTCTACATTTTTCTTTTAAATATAAGTCCTATGTTAAGTTCTAAATGCTTATAAAGAATCAATTAATAGCAGACTTGTTAAATTGAAACTTGATACCAAATATTTATACACAGACTCTAATTTAAGAAATAAAATATGATGTTAGGCAGGTGAAGAAATCTCCTACAAGTTATAATTGAATTCAATAACAAAATACACAGGGGTTAAACATTAAATTCTAATTTCAAAACAAGCAGATGTTGTACAAATAGCATTTTTTAAAATATAAAAAAAAAAACAATTAATTTTTTATAATAGCTAACTGATAACCAGTTACTTTGTGTAACATTTAAAAGTTTAAAAAGAAACAAAAAACCCTGCCTTTAACAGTAGCAGTACGGGTGCAATTGTACAGAATAGCCAGCTCGCCAAAAACGTTGCCAGGTTGCAGAGTACACAGAAATTTTCCATCTTTTGATACCTCCACTTTTCCCTCTAAAATGAAACAAGTTTTTATAGTTACTACAGTCTCTTTTGTTTCATCTGGAATCTTCTTAAATGAAAATCTATTTGAATGACAAATATATTCAATGTTATACATATTTAAAATATAAAAATATACTTCACAAAGAAATAATCAACTTCTGTTTTCAGTAGCTTGAAATTCCTGAAATTGCTAAAATGTAGAACTTCATTTAAATACTTGTCTGACAGGCAACATAAAAACAACTTTTTACAGTTAAAATACTGATCTGTTGTTCTTTCAATTATTTTTATTTACTGTGTAAATCTGTGAAAAACATTTAAAAGTTTTCTTACAATTAAATCATTTAGGCAACAGTGTTAAGGCACAAAATATCATTACGTATGTAACCTTTAATTTTCAGGTTTTATAAACTCTCTTCATGGTCTTCAGTAAACTCCAGTGTTTTGTTTTCTGCACATCTTCTGTAACAAATATTTTACTTTTTTTAATGCAGATGGCACGCTAAATCAATATTATGCATTGATCCTAATATGCTTATATCCGAAATATTTTGCATATGTGTTAGTGTTAAATACTACACTAAAATTCATAATTATGATGTTAAGTTCTGGGTTGTGACTTTTTGAAACAAAGTCAAGATTATAACCATGTGCTTCTTGTTGTAGTTTTATTCAAATATTTAAGTGTTTGATGTTCCAAAAAAAGTTTCTTTTCAGTAAAAAAACAAACAAAAAACTTTTACTTCCCTTTAAGAATTGTAAGGTATGGCAACGATTAAGAGTAAGTGTATTAAAACAATATTTTTAACATAAACTGATAAAAATGAATCCAGATATTTTCACATCACCAATTCTGGTTTTGTATTAGAAAAAGCCTGAGTACTTAATCATTTACAATTATTAAAAAAAAAGAAAATTCTTACCTTCCATAACAAAAACAACAGATCCCACATCTCCTTCTTTAATAATCAAACTATCCTTAGCATATTCAATTGGATACATGCAGTCCGTGATCTCTCGGATCTGGATCATTTCAAGGTTTTTCATGAAATCGTTGTCTGAGATGGCTTGCTTGATTAATTCCTTTGACCTATAAAATATATAACATATACCTTTTAAATCATATACCTTTCTTTTATTTTAATAATGAATTGGGTTTGTATGCTGTTAAGCCCAAAGCTATCGAAACCCGGTTTTTAGCTAATTTCGAGGAAGAGGCAGTTTTCGGAGATAAGTTAGATTATTTTGTAAGTATCTTGAATATGTAATTTGTTTATAAATTTGTAAGTCAATGGTAAGAAGCGTTTCATTCAGTTATTATAGAAATTAAACATTTTATCAAAATATTAGGTCGTCAAGATATTAATGTCGCGTTTTGGAACACTTTCATTAACCACCCCCAAAAAACATTCATCACGTATAATAGTTAAATGAACCGCTTAAACGTCACGTTATGTGTAGCCTTTATAATGTGTTAAGTTTAGTATACTCTAATCCCTTATAGTGATTGTACATGACGAGACACACATTCGGCATGTAATGCTGTTTCATTACAAGAAGGAAACAACGCCTCTGTAGCCACAAAGAATATCAAAGAAGTTTATGGAAATGTTTTTAACATTCGTAAGTGTCAACGATGGTTCAGCAAATTT